TATCTAAAAAAATTGTTGTGCAATCCTCTGCGGCCCCCTCTTGCTTGCGGCCCTAGGCCGCGGCCTAATCGGCCTAGTGGCAAATCCGGCACTGAAATTAATTACACCACAGTACAAATAGAGGCTCTGTACATGAGTCAATAAAAAAGGGTAAATGCAAATTATTTTACCGCTCCACTTTTCAAGGAAAGATTAGAAAAATAACAAAGTTAACATGTTTTAATTCTTCATGGTAGCTTTTTGTTTGCAATTAATGTTTGTCTGCTTTAACTTTGTTTGGATTAGGCCCGGAAATATGTCATAAAAAGAAGATCAAGAATAATCAGGAATCACGATTTTAAATTACCACCACAACCTCAGCCGGGTTTTATACAAAGATAAACAGATAGATGACATAGATTGAACACAACATCAACATTGACCTAGGATACTGCAATTAGACAAACCATCCTTTTATGAAATCGTGTTCAGTTGTGGTTACGTTTGGGGGCGCCTATATCAGCGCCCCAAAATGTGAAAATATCACTTATTTCAACTATGAATATATTGTAGTTTAAATTAACTAATACGGGAAATTATAGCAATGTACATTTATTCAATGAGGGTGGGTAATTATCAAGGATAGAACTGATAACGGTATGGATGATAATAAACATTGACAATTACGTCATTAGCTTTACTAGCGTAGCGTGTTTACTTTTTATATTCCTGCTACATCTGACCAGTTCTTTTTTTCAAATGAATGATTTGAACCAAACAGCTGTTTCAAAACAAACTGTTATTGTTTTTACTTTTCTTTGTTTACGCTTATTTATTTAGCAATTAATGCAGTGAAATTGATATAAAGGATAGGTGTGACGATTAGTTTTGATGTTAGGACACCAAAGTTAAATTATGTGTACTGTGAATTTTATTGGATACTATCGTTTTATTTTAGGTCGTTTCTATTCAGACCTACTGGAAATTGTGTATAGTAGTTGTATTGTGGTGATAATAATTATGGAAGAGGGAGGTATGCTATGGAAGTTGGTATCGTTGACTAGGTCTATACACTTCTCAATCATCGATGTATAATAACTCCCGTTATTATGTAGAGTTATTATACATTGATGTTCTCAATTGACTATTACTCTCTCTACTGTAGGTTACTTATAATCAGTGTGCGTCTGTGCGAATCGGCTGCAAATCTCACTTCAACGCTTTTCACATCGTAAAAATTGCAGAATTGCTGTTTTATTGTAAAATTGTCGGATTTAAAATGCATATCATATAGGCCTATGATGGAATAAAAACATATTTGGTCACACAACATTTGTTTACAAGATGATTTTTCACATTAAAACTGCAAGAAACTTTGTCTTTATATGTGTAAACTAGCTGATCTGAATTGTACACGGTTTTAACTCACTTCTGAATTCCCGTACTTAGGACGGGCTAACACCTCGTATATATAAAAGGTAAAGCCCTCACTGACTGACTGACTGACTCACTCACTCACTCATCACTAATTCTCCCACTTCCCACTTACCTAGGAGGCTGAAATTTGGTATACTGATTCTTTAGGCATTAAATAGGAAAACTAAGTGGTTTTTATTCTGATCAGACTCTCGGGCTCCGCCCAGTGGCTCTGGAGTTTCCCATGTTAACCTAATGAGTACTCATATTTAAATGGAATTAATGAATCTTAACAGCTGTTTCAATTAAACAAGTTGGTTCTGTTCTATGATGTTCAATAGCATTAAAGTTACAAGGATTACCAACAGAGTGCAGCACTATTATTTTTTTTAATATTTGACAACAGGCGAGTTAGCGTAGCGAACGAGCTAACCCGAAGGCAAGTGAGCGCAGCGAACGAGCTCCAACCGTAAAGGTGAGTGAGCGTAGCGAACGAACTTCAACCAGGACGTGTGAGCGCAGCGAATGAGCTCCAACCTAAAGGTGAGTGAGCGTAGCGAATGAACTTCAACCAGGACGTGATTGAGCCATGCGAACGACCTCACATATGAAGTTAAACGGGGCAAAGCCCGCGGGGACAGCTAGTTATGATATAAATTGGATTTCTTTAAATATTAAGTTTTTTTTTTAAACCCGTCCTTAACTCCGTACCTGGATCCGGATCTGGTACCGACATTTTCATGGATCCGCCCATCACTACTAAAAAGTGTGTGTATGTTCGAAAACCTCTGACCAGTAACACTCTTAAACACCCTCGCCGCTGCAAACCTGCAGACTAAGCCAATTTCAATATTAGAAGAGCTAGACTGAAGACTGATTTACTTTTACCATTTCGATGTGGGGAGGTCAAAAATACTATTTATTGTACTAACCGATATGCCTGTGCTTTGCATCAGGGATGATGACATGGAAGAGAAAAAGTTGGTTCTTCAATTTTATTGCATGAAATAATTACAGATTTATCAACGGTTTTGGAAAAAAATTCAATTGCACTGATTTTAGTATAAAAAGTATCATTTTTACTTTCTCCCCCTATACATAGCCTATACGGTACGGAGACAGTTTTATTTTCGTCAAAATTTTCCGAGATTGAGTTTTGAGTGGATATATCTGTTTTGGATCCCCCTGAACCCAAAAAAGTAGTTTTTGGAGTGGTTTCTGTCTGTATGTGTACAGAGCTACAGACCACACGTGGTCCGATTTTGATGCAATTTTTATATGTACTAATCTATGGTATTAAAAAGTATTATAGTATATATCTCCAGGATTTTTTAAAAATTTTTTTATTTTAAATGGTAATTTGTTTCATAAAACAACGGGAAAAATCACATTTGTACGGTAAAAATTTGTACGACTTGAATGGTTTTTATTAAAATTTAGTTGTTACAGTCTTTCTTTACACATAGAAAATGGTACACTCCTCACTGATGTTAAAATTACAGTTCACAAGTTATTAGAACATTTAACTTTTCATTTTAACTTGCAATTTACCTATAAAAAAACGTAAAAATCAGATAAAAATAAACTGTTTGACCAATTTTGGTTCAAATTTAGTATGAAATGGTCCTTATAACTCCAGACAAAGTAGTACAATCCATATCAGTGCAAGAATTACAGTTCAAAAGTTATTGCAACTTTTGTGATTTTCCTCATAAAATATCTTTGTCACTTTCACCGCTTACCCATGATAAAGGTTGTTGACACGCTAATGGGAGGAAGTTAGTATGTGAACGATGCTGATACCGTTTATTTTAAATGCAGGTAAGTGATAAAAATTTATTAGGTACTAGGCAATGAATAAAGTACGGCAAACAATAAACAAATCTTTCACATAATCTGATGGTCATAAATACTTCATAGGAATAAAATGTTGATTATACTGAACTGATGGGGTTATCAAACCTATGCCCACACGCACATAAATATTTATTTAAATATCAATTTTAGCTACTTGTGTTTTGGCCTCTAGTGACATCAAAATGAAAAAGTAAATTGGTCACAGATTTAGGTATTATTATGAGACAGTAATCTTCTACATGTAAAATTTGCTAAAATCCATATATAAATTCCAAAGAACCTATGAACTTTTGAGAAAACTTAAAGTCACACCCCCATAAACCTTATACTTTTAAAATGTTTGTCATGGCGAGAAACCTTGCGCAAAACTATCCATTATTTCATAAATTGCACTTTAAGAGGGCGTAATTCCTTTCTAAAGGGAACTTTCCATATACCTAATGTTAAAAAATACTTCACCTCTTTGAATTCATTACCTTATTAAAATCAGGTGTGATTATTTGTTTGTATTACTGTATTCTGTTTTTTAGCGAATTTCCCATATAGGGAATAAGCTATTACCGTAGGTCTCATGGTAAGACCTAGACCTGGGACCGATTTACTTTTTCGTTTTGAGGACCCCAGAGGCCAAAAACACCATCCGTTCAAATTCATATATATATATATATTTATATGTGTCCGTTAGCGCGATAACTCGAGCAAAATTGATCCGATTTTGATGAAATTTGGTACAAACGTGTAAACCTACATTTATTCAAACGAGTTCGCAAACCAGCATAATCGGACCATGGGATCAGGGGTTTATGGGGGGTTTTATGGGGTAAAAATGGGTTTTTCTCATTTTTGACCCTAAAAACATTAAATTTCTAAATTTCTCTCTAGACCATTTTGAAGAGCTTAAAAAAACAAATAATTTAGTATATTGAAGTGTTTTTGAATGTTCATTGACTACGGAGAAAATTAAAAAAATTGTAAATTTAAAATTCCCAACTTATTCTTATGGAGAATAAATAAACTGTTCTAGTTTGCTTGTTTATGGATATATTTTAATCAAATTTGGCAATTTGGTTTATTTCATACTAAGCTATCAATATTTCAATTGAAAAAACACACCTCACATCTTCCCCGTAGCAGCAAACCTAACTACTCACTAAAACTAATGTTATAGGAAATAAATCTGAAAATTTATACATAATATTTTAGTAGAAATCAAGCCGGGTAAATGGAAATTCGCTTAGTATGCAGGTTTGCTGCGACAGGGGTATTTTATATTTCATCTTACCAATCAATAGTTTTATTGATACTCATGAAGTCAAACGGGGGTAACAGCTAGTTAACTAATAAATTCTGATTGTCTTATGATGTGTTCTGATTGGCTAAATACTGCCAGTGGGTAACAGTAACAGTGAGTGTCAATGCCTTGACTTGCAGGTCAGCTCAGGTTCTCTTCTAGCTCATGGACTAAACAAGTATTCCTTCCTCTTTTTAAAAAGTCAATAGCTTTTTGATAGTTTGAAACTGGACCCAGCTGCCCTTGATAACTGTGTTTTGAATAAATGGGTCTAGCTAAGAAACAGCTGGTCTTAGTAACAAAGCAACAGAGATCATCTCACTCCATCCTACATTCACCCTTCATTCGAATTCAGCTTAAGATACAGACCCAAGTGTGTGTCGTTGTATTAAAGAATTTAATTTCAGATAAAACTCCTATGTTGAATTTGTATATGATTACAGTTAAATATTAATACCTTTTCAATTTGTATTTCTGAGACATTGTCATTTTCAATAAACAAGCAATACTTTGTAATGGACCTAAAATATTCGTCAGCTTTCTGGAATTTCTCGATTAGATTTGCACAATTTTTAAGATCAATTGTACATTGTTGGCACACTCTGTGGGGTAGACCATCACAAATTGATACCTGAAAAATAGCATTAATTCATTAAAAAAATACATAGTCTTTCATAAAAGATAAATAGTATTATATACACTTGATTCTTTTTTACATTTTTAAATACCTACTGATTTATGCCAGACTGGTTAAATAAAATAATAATAATAATAATAAAAATAATAGACAAAAAATTAAAAATCTTTTATTAAAAAACAAAAAAAGCCCTAACTTATTAAATATAACTCTTCGCTTCGGCATAGGAAACATGGAGATATCAGTTAGTTTAGTATATGGTTCAACTTTGAAAAATATCAAATTTATAAGTCTAAAACGACAGTATTACTAGTTAAGTACAGTAGAACCTTGATAAGAAGACCCTCAATAACAAGTCACCCTTGATAACAAGTGTCATTTTCAAATCCCCTCAAAATTATTTTACCCCTAATCACATGTTATTACAAACCTCGAAAAAAAAGTCAACCTTGATAACAAGTCTTATTTCACAATCCCCACGAGAGTCTTGTTATCAAGGTTCTACTGTATCAAGTAACAATTTTTAAGTATTTTGTTATTTTTATAAATAAAACTAGCTGTTGTACCCGTGTTTTGCAACAGGAAGAGGACACATATTAGATACATTTTAATCTTTACATCTGTTGCATATAATATAGTGATGGTCGGATCCGGATATCGGACTACCGGATCCGCCGGATCCAAGCTAGAACCGGCACCAGATCGGATCCAAAAAAATTCCGGATCTTGGGCTGGATCTGGTTTTGATAGATCCGATTTTTTCCGATTTTCCCCGATTTTTTTTACTGTCACAAAGCTGTCTGTATCCATGTAAAAGACCGATTTTTTCCCGATTTTTACTCAATGTCACAGTGCTGTATATTACGACGTTAATAACCTCTATAGTTAGGCAATGTCACAGTACTGTATATTACGACGCCAATAACCTCTATGGTTGTGCAATGTCACAGTACTGTATATTACGCCATCAATAACCTGTATGGTTGGGCAATGTCACAGTACTGTCGTCAATAACCTGTATGGTTGGGCACTGTCACAGTACTGTATATTACGACGTCAACAACCTCTATGGTTGTGCAATGTCACAGTGCTGTATATTACAACGTCAATAACCTGTATGGCTGGGCAATGTCACAGTACTGTATACGACGTCAATAACCTGTATGGCTGGGCAATGTCACAGTACTGTATACAACGTCAATAACCTGTATGGTTGGGCAATGTCACAGTACTGTAGTCAATAACCTGTATGGTTGGGCAATGTCACAGTACTGTATATTACGACGTAAATAACCTCTATAATTGTGCAATGTCACGGTACTGTATATTACGACGTCAATAACCTGTATGGCTGGGCAATGTCACAGTACTGTATGCGACGTCAATAACCTGTATGGTTGGGCAATGTCACAGTACTGTCGTCATTAACCTGTATGGTTAGGCAATGTCACAGTATTGTATATTACGACGTCAATAACCTCTATGGTTGGGCAATGTCACAGTACTGTACAATTACGACGTCAATCAAATAAAATAAAATCATCCTTTATTCATAATGTACAATATATACATGAATAGTGTCAATTATTAAGAATACCAACATAAAAATAATATAATACATAAAATAACAATAACCTGTATGGTTAGTCAATGTTACAGCACTGTATATTACGACGTAAATAACCTGTATGGTTAGGCAATGTCACAGTACTGTATATTACGACTAGGGATGTGTCGAATCCGGATCTCCAATTCACCGAATCTTAAGAAAAGATCGGGATTCGAGAATATATTTTTTTAGAATATAATTATGAGGCATATACTGTATAGAGGTTATTGACGTCGTAATATACAGTACTGTGACATTTCCCAACCATAGAAGTTATTGACGTCGTAATATACAGTACCTTGACATTGCCCAACCATAAAGGTTATTGACATCGCAATATACAGTACTGTGAAATTGCCTAACCATACAGGTTATTGACGTCGTAATATACAGTACTGTGACATTGCCTAACCATACAGGTTATTGACTTCGTAATATACAGTACTGTGACATTGCCCATCCATACAGGTTATTGACGTCGTAATATACAGTACTGTGACATTGCCTAACCATAGAGGTTATTGACATCGTAATATACAGTACTGTGTCATTGCCTAACCATACAGGTTATTGACGTCGTAATAAACTGTATTGTGACATTGCCCAACTAATATCATCAACTAATAGTTTTATTTTAAAATTTGGAAAAGTTTTAGTGTCCCCAAAAAATTAGGGAATATGGGCTCAACTGGAGATTACTCTATATATAAGATATATTAACCTTTAAACTTTACTAGTTTAATTTTAAACAGTATGATTTAAATTGGCATTCTGTTAAATACGTTTTTTAACAAGCCCTTATGACAGTGTGTATCTCCAAATTTTTCAAGATCCGGATCCGGATCCGGTACCGACATTTTCTTGGATCCGCCTATCACTAATATAATAGTTATACACATCCGCCAATGCTTTTAGAAACAAAATTCAACTTTTATGGCCTTCAAAATGACACCTCTATAATCTTCCTAGCTTAATTTTGAGAGCTGTTTAAAGTTTCATTTACGGGTCGTATTTTAGCGTTTTTTTTGTATATTTTAGCCAGGCGTAATTTTGAAACTAGTTGGGATATCAAGTTGAATTTTGGTTTTTTTCTTAGTCTCTACAGGATGTATATCAAATTTCTTAAAAATCGGAGATGGTCAGATTTTGATTTAAATTGTGTTGATTTGATACGGATTCACCCTACATAAAATATAAGGTTTTGAAAGTAAGTAGGCCCACTCTTTTAAATAGGTTTATCGTTTATCTTTTCAAATTAAATCATAGAGTTACAGTATTTTTAAACACACAACACCATTTATACACTGTAATGGTTGCTTGGGAAATTGAACCCTCTTCTAACATATAAGGAAAATAATGTTACTACACTAAGAGGTAAAATTAAGTTTTGTTTCTGAAATTAATAATAGCCTAGTTGCACAATATTTTCATACAGCAGATATAAAAAAAACAGCATTATTCTCTTCTGCCTCCTTCTCCTCCCATTGCGAGGCACGGGTAGAGCAACTTGTCCACTTTTAAACCGGTTATAAAGAAAGTTAATCTTTAACACTGGACCTTTGAAAGCACTTTCCTTAAATAGAACAAAGGGTAGAGCATAAATGGTAATTGCCTTTTTAACTACCATTGTCACTCCATTGGATGGTAAGCTTTAAAATGACACCTCAATCTTAAATAGGCCTATATCAGTTAAAGAGGGGTTGTGGTTGTTTGGTTGGTTGAGTTAAGGTTGTGTTGCTAGCCTAGTGGTTAGCGTCTCGGACTTCGGTGCAGGAGGGACGGGTTCAATCCCCGCTACGGTTTTAAGTAGGTATTTAGATTATTTTACTAAATTGATTACAACAATTTGCTATTACCTTTTTTAGTAGAACTATATCACTAATTTTTCTGATTTCCTTTGCATCAGCAGTGTTAGAGAAAAGTTCAACATAGGAATGAGGTGCCTCATTCATACAGAATCTGCATAAAATTAGCAGATCATGTTGTCCGCTGTATGGATTTTCTGATATTTTCAATGTTAGACTCCTCAACTCTTTAGGTTCCAAAAGTGGCTTGGTGTCTAAAACCCATAACAACATCGCAACATTCAACAATACTTACTAAATAGTTAAAAAAAAATAACCATATTTTTTTAAATAGTATATTACACTTCTATTCTAAGGCTACCAGTGGACACCGCAGTAAGTTAAGTACAGTATATTACACTTTTTCTATCAACTACAAGGCCGGATAGTAGACGTGATAATGGTATGGTTAGTTCCTGCTCAGCAAGCCTTGCATAGGATTTCACGTGAGGAGAGTTTACACCTTCAAAGATGAGTTGCGTAAAATATTTTTTCCCATACTACCAGCATTAATTTTTACAAGTTTTGCCAATTTAGACATGTAGACTAACATAACATCATAAATTAATTTTACTAATATTTCAATCATTTCGCCACTTTGAAAACACTAAATACTCTAACTCATACCTGTTTTAGGATATGTCATGCAACAGATTTGAGCTGATTTCTTTTGACTTAACTATTAGGGGCCATACACATATTACGTAACGCTTGTAGGGTGGGGGGGAAGGGGTATGGCACAGCGTTACGCTGAGTTATATGGTGGTGGGGGGGGGGAGGTTTGGCTTATGCTACGTAACGAACACATTCCTCTTTAAAAATACAAAAATAATCAAATTGATATCCAAATCAGTTAGTTAAGATACCATACAAATAATCGGTACAGCTTTGTTTTTTGTAATTGTTTTGTGGTTATAAATTAAAGCTTTGTTTTATTTGGGATAACTTATTTTGTTGTTTATTATATTATTAGTAACAATCTTGTTTGTTTGTATCAATTTCGCTTTGATTATAAAAATGTTATTAAACAAAAGTCATTACAAGATTAATAATTTATTTCAATCCATACAGTATTCTATTAGTAAAATTTAAAATTATGTTTAAGCTGTTATTAAAATCTACTACAATCGAGTTACGTAACGCAAGGGTGGTGGGGACTCTATTGTAATGCATCTTCTGTAATAAACTCATTTGTAAATGATACAATACTCTACACAATGGGCGTTGTCAAATGGAAGTCATTCAAACTACTGAATTATTTATATAAATTTATCATACTCCAGCTGACATAGCTTTGGTAGGGGGGGGGGGTTTGATTTTGCCCTTTCTATAAAAAACGACTTTCTGATCTAAAAGGAGTACATAAACTATCTGCTTACTGTGTATTGTGGCGAAAACATCATTACTCAGATACCGTCACAATTAAAAGCGAGAACAGAGTGGAATGGCATTCCGGGTTTTCTTTTCAGACATGTACAAATAAATGCACTAATCTAATTCTGTGTATTGTTTCACTGTTTTTTGTAGAGCCATGTCTGCTGGTTGAGTGTAGTGCTATTTTTAGAAATCAACATTAATCCTATAAATGTGATGGGATGAATTTTTAACTTAAGGTCCCTTTTTGGTTGAAGTTACTCACTAAGAAATATTATTTTTGAGAAGTGAGAAGTACCTCCACAAACCTTAAAATGTTTACTGACAAATTACTTAGTTGATAATTTGACATTATTACAATCCATATCACAGCCCTGGGACTCCTTTTAGGACAAATTTGTCAATTTTTACTTCCGTCTGTAGTCCAAAAATTGTATCAACATCTATGATGTTGACTAGTTTCCTTGCAAATGCAACATTGTCAAAAGTGTGCTACACGCCAGAAAATCAACATTGAAATTATTATTTGAATGACAAATTTATAAAATCAGTAAAAGTTAAAGACTTTGATAGTCGGATTAATCCTTTTATTGTATATTGATATAAAATATTTTGAGAATAGTTATTAAGACTACTTTTAAGAAGGGCACCACCGGTAAGCCTCCCATAGTCTTAAATAAATAAATAAATATATCTTTATTGTCACATAAAGGTTTTTAAAAAATTTGTCAATACTGTAATATATTTTGTTTACAAGAAATGAGGCAAGGCTGCTTTTAAAAGACGTTTTGTTTATTAAATCTTTATATTTTGGTTACAGTTTATTAACAAATTTCTTTTCCATATATTTTGGTGTTTTTCCTATTAATTTTAATCGGTGAATCGGAAACTGAAAATTCTTTTTGAAAAGGGTGTTATTAATGGTGTATCTTAATTTATTAAAGTACAGTAACAAAAAAATGTTAGTTTTTAATATCCATACAAGTGTGCTGGGTTTGGTTGATCTGCAATCACAAATAATTATGGTTGATATTGAAAAGAAAAAAAATACTTATGAAAAAGATAACCATAGGCGTACTTAGTATCTAGGATTGATGTGAAAGATGTGTATGGATTGAGATTAGTATCAAAATCGAATGTGTACCACATCCAATTGACTTTAAGTAAGTGTAACGACAGATAGTTAAGTTAGGATAGAGTTTGCAATAATCTAGCTGCTTGTTAATTTGGGTTAAGTTGAACAACATAACAGAGTCAAGATTTAAATCAGTTTTTTTTATAAACAAAACAAATATTACTAAGCTTATAATACAACTATTTAATATTTTTGTTAATGTACAAACCATTTTTAACTAATTTTAACAATACTTACAATACGTTAGAGGAAACTGCGGCTTCTCAACAGAAAATTCACCAAAGTCAAAAATACACTTATCCATAACGTCTCCTTCAAGCAATTCAATGCTTAGGAAATCATCAGGAGTAGAGGTACAGTGGTCTGAAATACATTAGCTATCAAGAATTGTTGGTTATTGAGACTGTATGTGTGATAACAACGAAACAACCAGGACAACCCCAAGCGTAATTAGACACCCGGGTCGAGGTTTCAATCCGTGTCTCACACTACAAAAGGGTAGGCCTATTTGCATTTTTTTGTGCCAGTAGACCTAACATCCGATATATCAGATATCTTGTAAGTAATTTTTATAAAACCTAATACATACTGTATTGAGACTGTTTAACAATAAGAATGGGGTCAATGTAAACAATGTTAGTAATGTTAGTTATGCTGTTCGTATTAGGCCTAAACTGCAGGCATTCCTCTACCATAATTAAACAGATTAGGGTAAAAATACACATACAGCGATTCAGAGCGGAGCGGGAGGGGCGATACAGAGCGAGCTGTAGCAGCGCGACTGACGTGCCACACATGCAGCGACTAGCGAGAGCGACACGAACGGGAGCTCGATCATTTCCAAGATATCACATAGTAAGTTTGCACGCAATTTGCAGTACGTGGCTAAAAACATTCATTTTGCACGCTTCAAACCGATATGACTGGTTGCATGGAGTGAATGGAGGTACATTTGTTTCCAGCTCTTAAGAAACATTAATCGCGATTCATGCAATACATGTCTACCTTGACCTTTGAATACATTCTTTCAAAAAGAGAAGGTTCGAAAGTTCGAGAAGGTTCCTAAACGCTCCGTGTAAGTTCCTTTTCTGGTAGAATGGGCATACAGAGCGGCCTACTGGCTAAAGTGTAACTAAAAATGTTCACAAGATCGTTGCACACTCCGCTCCCAAAAGCTAGAAAATCAAACGAGATTGTTCCAAAGTTATCCACTTCGCAACAGCTGTTTGTGTGCACATTACTAATTGATTGTATGTATAGGTTTGATTTTGTCGCTCTAAATCGCACCGCTCCGCTCCCAGTTGCATATGTGTGTTTCTACCCTTAGACTGTTCTGCAGTACACACATTTCAAGATTTTAGTACATAAAACTTCATATTTAGTATATGGACCAGCATTTTTTATACAAGTTCATTTATATGCTTTTCAAAATACACAAACTTCCGACAACATCCATATTTTTATTCAAACACAATTTGTTTGCTAAAAGTGAAAAAAAATTAAAATAAAAAAATGTTTTCTCTGTAAAACAATACTAGTTTCAAATGTCAACATTTCACTAACACAACATAATAAAAGTCCATAGAAGAGCATAAAACAGAAAAACATCTTTGAAATTGGTTTAAAAAAATTGTATTGCACATATATTGAATGCCTACTAATTATTCCTTTTTTACACTACCGTTTTGGAACACCGTCTCGCTAGGTGCTGCCGCCAAAGGGCTAGAGATATTTGTATTGGTAAGAATGCAAATTAAAAACATCACTTTGTTTACATTAAAAAAAAATACTAATTATAATAGAGAAAATAAAATATAACAAACAAAACTTGCGTTAACAAGCCTTTTGACTTAACAAACAGCATTAAAATCACTACACAAATTTTAACACACAATGTATTTTTCCTTGCTTTGGCTTTTGAAAAAATGTTAAAATGTTCAACTGTTTTGAAACTTTATTATCTATGGATAAAATTGCCAACGCATTTAGCTTGGCTCAATTCGGTGTTATTGTAGATCGTAGATACGTTTTGATTAGTTTCAACTTGCTAAAACTTTGCACTTGCCACAGTAAGGGGTGTTGTCAGCAATATTCTCAAAGCAATCCACATGTTAGTAAATAGGTCTTTTTGATCTTGAGATTTACCTAATATTATTTAGCAACTTGAGGGGAAGCTCAATATGTCTTATGTTCATCGTGACCGTAGATTCATTAGTTTTTAGAACAATGATTGATTACATGGTTATGATTTTTCCTGTAAAACACCATGTTCACCAATAAAATTGTTTTTAGGATAAATATATTTTTACTATTACAATCCACAGGCCTGGAAACAAAATAAGTAAACTTATACAAAATAAAATTTCATAGGATATGAACAGCCTTTGCGATTTTTAATACACATTAAAAACCTATTTGTTATCTTTTTGGTAATGTAGCCTAACTGTAGCTTGTGAGCTTTTTAGTCTTCAATTAACCTAGTATTGTAGACTATCGATTATCCACGTGTGGATTAACCACAATAAAAAAATCAGAATTTAACAAAATACTATGCATCTTAAATTTACGTTATACAGCGACAGCTACAGTAATATATTAAACATGAGGAGGCCCATCATCTCGCAAGTAGACTGCAAAGTTACTGTTATTTACTTGACAAACCACTGTTTACAACTGACAAATCGATGAGACATTTTTTATACTTGTTTGATTTTTTTTAACTACGGTACTAGGCCTATGCAGAGACTTTCCAATAATTTTTATTTTGGAAAAAGGTATGTAGCCTATATGGTGTTTAAAATGTGTTATTATTATCTAATAAATATAGATGCAGATATAAGGACAAAAGACTGCAAAAGTTACCATTTATAAAACTTATTTTATACCGATAGTTCCCAATGGTGTAGAAGTTTGGAATATAACAGAGAAGGAATGGAGTAGGGTTCAGGCGGGGGGAAATGAAGTTTGTAAGAGGTATTCAAGGAAAAAAAGATTAGGCCTAAATAGAATTAGCAATGAAAAAGTTGAGAAGAGGAATAGTTGAAGAAAGTTTGAGAGAACGAGTAGAGAAATCGAGATTGAGATGATTTGGCCACTTAAGAATGGAAAATGATAGAATCCCCGAAAAATTAGTGAACTTCACACGAACGGAAGAAGACCAAGAGGAAGACCTAGAAGGAGGTGGAAAGACGAGGTGAGATGAGATGTTGAAACAAGAGGAGTGCAGTGGCAGTTTGTGGAGGAAGAGAGGAATCGTGAAGGGACAGAAGATGGAGAGGCCTAGTAAACATCCAGACCCAGAGATAACCTCAACGGGAGAGGATATGGATTTACATGTATTATTACCTAAACCTGTATTAAAGCTTACTTATACATTCTCTTAGTTGATTTCCAGGCATTTTAGGTTGGGTTAGCAATTTTGATTATCCACGATCACTCAGCCACACATTATCATGGATATGGATAATCAAGAGTCTAATGTAAATAAAATAAAAGTTACTATAATTTTAACAGATGGATTAGACAAGATTATTTTGTTTATATTTTCTAATAGTAAGTTATTAGTTTCATCAAGGTGGTGAATAATATTGTTATGCAATGCACTAATAACTGATAAGGTTCTTCTTAAAACACATTGCTATTTAGTGGGGTCGTATAGCTGCATATGATGGCAGAATATTTCAGTTCTGGCAGAGAGGCTGCAATTTTAGGTGGTTATAGTATACAAGTTTCTGAACCTAAAACCGCCCAGACCCCAATTTTTAAGGACCTCGGTCGTCCGTAATGACGTCATCAAAATGGCGGCCGTAAGAGGATGCTGGGTCCCCATGAATTGGCTATAATGACCGAATGCCTGAACCGATTTTCATGAAATTTGGCACAAAAGTGCTTGAATACATTATCTCGGCCTGGTTTGAAAATGGTCAAGTTTCATCAAGTCATTTCAAAATGGCGGCTGTTCAAAACTAAAAAAAATATGAGGAAAATAATTGTGAATTGTTTTATACAGGGTGAGTTTCAAATGAGTTCCCCCCTACTTTTTTATACATTTCTTAACCCTCCGAGTGTCACGCGTCATAAAAACGACGCACAACACACTTTGTGTAGGGTCACGCGTCGCTTTTAAGACGCACAAACATCGTTTACGGCGAAGGCTCTATGACTGACTGAATCGGATTGAACTGGATCGAGTTAGGTATCGTTCTTTCCGTAATATTTTAAGCTTTCTCCAGAGGTCTGTCTCTAAGCGCTATTCATTTTAGTTCCGAAAATATTGTAGCAGACAGCTGACGTGCGTGTATTTGTAAACAGCTAGGTTCCCCCGGACCGATGACTGATGTGTTTTATTACGTTTATCATTGTTTTAGTGTTAAAAATCAAAAGTAGTGATATACGTGGTGCATTATAAGAAGATTTAAGTGGTTTTGAAGTGCTGGTTGATGATCCTGAAGAAGTAGGTAGTGATATTGATGTAAATTATTGGCCAGATTCCTAGCTATGGTTAGGCTATGCATTCTTAGCTAAACGCTATGTACTGAAATCCGTTTTTCGCTCATAACTTATTTATTTGATAACTTACCTCGCTATATGATTATATATTTGTAATCCTCATTAAATTTAGAACAAAGTGGCTATTTTCAAATATTTATAGGCCTATAATTTATACAATTTCATTGAGCGCGAACTTATTTTTTTTTTTTAAATTATCGAAATTATATTTTTTTTTACCTAAAAATTTTTTTTTTGAAAAAATGTTCCTTATGTTTTATATATAATATTGAAGCCCATGATTTTCCAAACAAAATGGTATATAGAACATTAGAATTAACATTGTTTTAAGCTTCTCAGATCCGTTTTAATAAAACCTTGCAAAGGGGCCAAAAATAGGTGGACATTAAGGCCTAAACTATGGACACTCGGAGGGTTAAGATATCAACTCCGAACTAGGTCAGATAATTGTAGAGTAGCGAGTACTTAATTTTGACTGGGTTTTATTTTATCCGTTTTTTGTTATCAAGCTTTCTTGATAAAATATAACAATTATTTTGATTTAAAATGTCAATATTTCAAAAACCAAATATGACAATGAAAAACGGATTGCGGCATTGAATTCAACATAAAAAAGTAGTTCACAATGATGGGTCACAACACCACCTTCATATTTAAAATAATTTATCACACTTCAAAATGGCGGATCCAAGATGGCAGCTGAAAAAAATGCATCCTTCATAACCGAGTGAAAATAGGTCAACAATAAAAGGTGGTGTCCACTTATCTTTATCCAGCACTATTTTGAGATTATGGCCTTAGTTTGTAAATGCACAATGTTATAATGGACTAAAAATAAAGTTATAAAAAGTTATCATAACTTTAGAATGGATAAACATTTTTTTTAACGGATTGCAGCATCGTATTCAGTGTAAAAGTCTTGTTTGAAACACAGCCGCCATTTTGAAATGACTTTGATGAAACTTGACCATTTTCAACCCAGGCCGAGATAATGTATTCAAGCACTTGTGTGCCAAATTTCATGAAAATCGGTTCAGGCATTCGGTCGTTATAGCCAATTCATGGGGACCCAGCATCCTCTTACGGCCGCCATTTTGATGACGTCATTACGGACGACCGAGGTCCTTAAAAATTGGGGTCTGGGCGGTTTTAGGTTCAGAAACTTGTATACTATAACCACCTAAAATTGCAGCCTCTCTGCCAGAACTGAAATATTTTCCTGCTACCCAACCTGACTAATTTAATAAAATGAGATATAAAGCCTCCTACCTTTATACTGTGATAACTGTGATTCAGACCTCGATGGGACCAAACTGCAAATATTATTGACTAGCGATTCAGACCTTGATGGAACCAAACTGCAAATATTATTGACTAAAACAGTTGGTATAGGGTTGAGTCTTCTTTTCAAAACTTTTTTAGTGCCATCAGTAAACCACTTATCCTCAAAGTGGTCTTCACAGAGTCTCCAATATCTATTTTTGCTAACTTGTTTGGTTTGTAAATCAGTTCTTCCGGTATTCTCCAACCATACTTTACATCTGTAACCACCAAAGTAGGCCCTTACTACACACACAAATCTATAAAATGCTTGAATCACTATAAATGCATATTATCAACAATAAATAGCACAACTTTATGAAATAACCACCCTAAAAAGTTAAGTATGGTATAGTAGAACCTCGATAACAAGTCACCCTTGATAACAAATGTAATTTTCAGTGCCCTTGAATTTATTTAACCCCTGATCGTTATTGCCAACCTTGATAACAAGTTGTATTTAATAATCTCCATGACAGTCTTGTGATACAAGTTTAACTGCTAAAAATTTCTGTAGCTTAACACTGTTGTAGCGTTACACCACACCAATGTCCATGCCCTCCTATGACAGAGCATATTTTCAGATCATATAGTTCCATGTGTATGGCCCTTGAATTACTATACAGGGTGGTAAAAAGTCCCAGGACAGTTAAATATTTTTAAAAATAATGCAGATAGAGCTACAATACTTGGTACAAAGTTACAGGGCATAAAACTCTATTTTAACACATATTCAGTGATCCAATAACTCTTCAGGGGAACGGCCCACAAGAAGTCGGAAGAAAATCTTAAATGGAAGCATAGGTCAATATGCACATCGAATTAAAGGTCTTTTTTAGTAGAATACAATGTCGCAAACCGCACTTCAAAAGGTTGATCCTGCGCAAAATGGCAGATGTTCAAAGATTTCTTGATTCCGCCATTTTGAATCTTTGAACGACTGCCATTTTTTACTCAGGCATTCTTTCAAGCTTGAATTTACGGTATCGTAATCTACTAGTGAAGACCTTTATTTTGATGTGCATAATAATAATAATAATAATAATATAAGGGTTGCATATCGACCTATGCTTACGTTAACAATTTTCTTCCGATTCCTAGGGCTAAGCGTTCCCCTGAGGAGTAAGCGTATAATAGCAATGTAAATTAAATGAATCTTTGAACAACTGTCATTTTGCGCAGGATCAACCTTTTGAAGTGCGGTTTGCGGCATTGTATTCTACTAAAAAAGACCTTTAATGTGATGTGCATAGTGACCTATGCTTCCATTTCAGATTTTCTTCCGACTCCTTGTGGGCCGTCCCCCTGCAGAGTTATTGGATCACTGAATATGTGATAAAATAGAGTTTTAAGCCCTGTAACTTTGTACCAAGTATTGTAGCTCTATCTGCATTATATTTTAAAATATTTAACTGTCCTGGGACTTTTTTACCACCCTGTATAATGACTAATAATTATTTTCATACAATTTACCTCGTCAAGTTATCCAAATTGTTGTAGATGTCAGGTTAATAACCTACATGTTTCGCCGTTAATACGGAATCATCAGGGTTATTTAACATATACGTCATTGCTGTAACACAAAAATAAATAACACGAAACGAACATTTAATTACTATTGATAGGACTATCACTCGATACAGATGGCCCCGGCGCAGCTAGCAGACTGTAGTGTCACACTCCTTCCTCGTCCATGTTATCAGTAGGACAAAAGTCAGGTGGCCGGTTACTTCCACCAACATTCCTGATGGTGACGAGGTAAATTGTATCATATTAATAATTAGTATCGGGGACAGAGTCTTGCTCCGTTGTGGTTAATTGGGTTTAATTGATTTAATCGTAAACAGACATTTTAAGTTATAGCTTACAAAAAACATTTGTATTACATTTACAAACCATAAGTAAGTTTAGATATTTGATAGTAATAAAAAGGATAAATACGCGTAGTACTTCCTGGTTTTACTCAGCGACCCAGGTTTCGAACCTAAAGGTTCATTTTCAAGCTGATACCTTGGTTAAACTCCTTCTAAACACACAAATCTATATATTTAATACACAGTTGTAACACTGTTTTCTCAGTAATTGCTGGACCGATCTACAAGATTTATGTCTCAAATTAAAGGGGATAGTGCGTAGATTTGCCGAACTTCCTTAGAATTTACGTTTTTTCTAAGGGCTAAGACCTACAGCCCTTTAAAGGCCGAGTCAATACAATTCTTATTGAAGAATATAATACACAGTTTATAAATTATTCGTCAGCTGTTTAATGTTTGTCAGACATTTGTTATTATTTTTATAACCTCACTTTCAGTATGCAATTATTAAACTTGGAGTTTCTGTTTATAAACACGATTTTGATCAAGGAAAGTGTATTTGTTAAATTATTTTTGAAATGTTTTAGTTTTCCTGGAAAGTGATCTGAAGGAAAGTGGTAATTGAGTTTAAGTTTGAGTATGGAATGTGAAATAATACCCATAGTAGGGAACGGAAACTTATTGTTTTGATCAATATAATTTATTCTCTACGGCCACCAGAATAATCATGGGGAAATCCGCTTGCAAGTTGTACACATAATTGCTAATGAGTGGGAAACATACAAACATTTTATAGTAAGTGACGAATCTTACTCAAGATCAGTGTTAGACGTTCAGTGGTACCAAACTTTACCTTCTCGAGATGGCGAGTACGCTGGGATACGTGGAACTACAATATATCAGTGAATTTTTTTCAAGTACACAGGGAAGTTGCTTGAGAAACTGAGACTTACCATTCGGTTCTGGCGAAGAAGTAGCCTATGCGACTTGATGTTTAATGGCAATGTTGACTCGGGTCATTATAGCGTTATAAAACTTTATCATTAACCCCAGGGTGTGAAAAGTACAAAAAGAAAAAGAAAAGGTAATCATTAACCGGGCGTAAAGAGACATACCGAACGAAAAAACATGTAGAGAAGCATCGAACTAAAAAGGTAAAGTGCAGTGTTGGTGTTGGTGTTAAATGTGCTCTGGAAGTCCCTACAAAAAATACCAACTCTTATGAATTGGGGTCGTTAGATTGGATTTGTCACTACTTCAAATCTATGAATTTCGAGTCAGAACAGACTAACTGGGACACAAAAATGTTTTAGTTTTCCTGCAAAGTGATCTGAAGGAAAGTGGTAATTGAGTTTAAGTTTGAGTATGGAATGTGAAATAATACCCATAGTAGGGGACGGAAACTTATTGTTTTGATCAATACAATTTATTCTCTGTAGCCACCAGAACAATCATAGGGAAATCCGCTTGCAAGTTGTATAGATAATTGCTAATGATTGGTAAACATACAAACATTTTATCGTAAGTGAATAATCTTACGATGTGCCTTTTTCCCACCAGGCAAGAAATACATGAACATGAAACACGCAACAGGACAAAATTAGATATTCCACAGCACAGATTGACAAAATTCGGCATATCACACAAGGCAAATTGCATCAAATTTTTTAACAAACTACATGAATCATCAAGGACCTGCACACCTAAAGTCTTCAAAAAAAAGGTAACTGCTTGGCTTTTAGACAATCCCTTTTACAATACATATGAATATCTTAATACATGTATAGAAATTAGATTTTAGTTAGTCTTTATAGATATATGACAATCTGTTTTAATTAATTTCATTAATCATATGACAATGCCCATTTCATGTACATGATCAACGGCAAATAAATCATTTCATTTCATTTCATTTCATTTCATTTCATTACTCAAGATCAGTGTTCGATGTCCAAATTTTACCTTCTCGAGATGGTGAGTATGCTGGGATATTTGGAACTACAATTTATCAGCGAACTATACCCTAACTATATTTTTTCGAGTAGGCCTACACAGGGAAGTTGCTTGAAAAACTGTGACTTACGATTTTGGTTCTGGCGAAGAAGTATCTGACTTGATGTTTAATGGCAATGTTGACTCGGGTCATTATAGCGTTATAAAACTTTATCATTAACCCCAGGATGTGAAAAGTACAAAAAGAAAAAGAAAAGGTAATCATTAACTGGGCGTAAAGAGACATACAGAACGAAAAAAAACATGTAGAGAACCATCGAACTAAAAAGGTAAAGAGCAGTGATGGTGTTAAATGTGCTCTGGAAGTCCCTTCTAAAAAATACCAATTTTTTTAAATTGGGGTCGTTAGATTGGATTTGTCAGTACGGCAAATCTATGAATTTTGAGTCAGAGCAGACTAACTGGGACACAAATATTTTTTCCTTATATTGTCACAAGGGGAAGGTAAAATGAACTCCTTATCAACATTGTGAGTTTATGGAAAATCTTTTCAACAGCGACTATAAAAAAAGTATTAATGGTCAAAAGAGATAAAAAAACTATTTGAGTAAAATATAATACAAATCTGCATTTGAAATGGCCAGTTCTAAGTCTCGCTTGAATCAACATCTTTCTGGTAGTGGTAGTCTACATAGTTTTAAAATCCACGACTCCTTTTCCATCAAATTAGACCGTTAATACCCTCTAACATTGAACAAAGTATGCCCAACTTTATATATACGGCGTAAACACAGCTTTTACTCACAGTGGGTCAAAGATTTGTGAAATGCGACCAACTGCTGATGCGTGATTTACATGTAGGCTAAGTGACTATCTTGATTCCATACAACAAATGTAATGAAAAAAAAAACGACGAATATAGGAATACTGTATACTTGAGCAAATTATCTAAATAGCATAAATAGCTGCTTATTAAGTTATCAGCATCGACCAGTTGGTATACTATTTATTTTTCAAATGAAACTCGAATAAAACATTCATTTGGTTAAAATAATATATCGGTTTGATTAACATAAAATAGTTTATACAGGCAAACTATCAGTTCTATTTCATGTAAAAAATTTAACAACCCCTAAATAAAATACAAAGATAAATAGTAGCCTATTTGTTAATTATTATTTCTTTTATTGCTGACAATATTCCCGTGGCGGAGCACGGGCGGTTAACTAGTCTAATTAAATATACAGCCGCATGTGTAACTCACTCACTCACTGACTCACTCATCAGGTATACTAATTCTAAGGCACTTCTAGAGTAGCTAGGAAGCTGAAATTTTTTGTGGAGTGTCCGTCTCGGTCCCAAACCACCTAGAAAAATCAAAAAAAGTAGCAATTTCATATTTTAACCCCCCCAAAAAATTCCCTTAAATCACCCCTTTTTTGAGAAAAACACGG